GTGGAGGAAATGTTACACCCCGACCTTTCTAAGGGTCAAAATGACTATTTTACCCTTGGCTAAATTCATCAAGTTTCATCGTAATATCGAGGAGGATTAAAAATGCGAACTAACGGTTCGAACGGTATCGAGTTTCGATATAAAACGAGAATGTTACGGATGTTTTAAATTGTGATTAGTTGTTATGGGTTTGATTTGGGCCCAGAAGGAGGAGTGGGCCTGGGTTGTGAATGTTTCTTTTGTGAAATAAAAGAAGTGGGCTTTGGCCCGAAAAGGGAAGGAGAGGAGAAGATGGTATGGAGAGAGGTGGGCTTAAGTGAGAGGTCTTAAGGAGTTGAGAAGAGGGGGAAGAGGAGTGAACTGGGCCGTCGGCCCAGAGGAAGGAGAGGGATGAAGGAGGGCCTGAGGCCCGAGGAGAGGAAGTAGAAGCGGGCTGGTGGCCCGGGTCAGAGAAGAAGGGAAAGAAAAAAAAAAAAAAAAAAGGGGAGAGCAGGTTTCGGGCCCTGTTAGAGAGAGGGGAAGAGCTGGACTCAAGCCCGTGAGGGAATAAAAGAAGGGGACAAGGAAGAACGGGCTTGAAGCCCAGGCAGCAGGAGAATAAGGGGGAGCGGGCCAGAGCCCAGGTGAGGAGAAAGAGGGACTCTTTCCCTCTGGGGAACTCGACCGGAAGCGGAAGAAACAGAGCAGGGAAGGGGAAAGTGGAGCGGCGGCGGATTGGGAGCCGGATGTGTCGCCGGGAAATCGGGTATAACGGAAGAAACGATTTAGGAGTTATTGATGGCCGATTAATGAATTTAATGGGGATTAATTGAAATGGTTTCTCGTAAGCAAAAGGCGAGGGGATGGGGATGTTCTTAAAAGAAAAGGGAAGATCCCTCTCTGTTTTCGGGAAACAAAGCAGAGGGCGAGCAAAGAGAAAGAGAGAGAAGGTCGGCGACGATTACGACGATTGACCGGGAATTGCAATGGAAGGGGCGAATCGATCAGGAAGAGGGGGAAGGTGGATCCGGACCAGGATGGTACGCCGCGGACGCAAGAGGGAGCTCGGGAACTCGTTGACGGCGGCCGCAGCGGGAGCTAGTGTTAACGTAGCCAGCAGGCAGGTGGGAGATGGTGCAGGGACGAGGCAGCTGGGGCACCCTCTGATGCGACCAAAGGTGGTTGCAATCCGGAGCTGGCCGCCCAATTGCGGCCCGAGCAGGAGCGACGGGCGTGACGATGGCGGAGCTTCGATGGTGGGTGCCGCCGGAGCGCTGCTGTTCGAGGATGGAGAAGATGATGAGCCAGAGCAGGAGCCAGAGCCGGAGGAGTGCGTTTGTTGTGGGCGTGAAGACGGGGAGGAGGACGACGGCGGTGGTCGTCGGAGACGGGACGGCGACGGCATCGGCATCGTCGACGACGGCGAGAAGGTGAGGAAAATCCCTCCTGTAATTTTGGGATGTCGAAGGCAAAATTTAGGGAATTAGATAGATGATTGAGGGTAATCTGGTCTTTTTAGGAGCAAGGGCAGTTTGGGGATTTTGAGGAAGTTTGGGTATCAATTTGAAATTTACCATGACAGGGATTAGTCCGTAATTGGTGAAGTTTTGGTTACCGAATGGAAATAAGCCTTTTTGGGGCTTAATTGTTTAAATCAGAAAGTGGAAGTGGCCTAGAGGACTGAATTGTGCAATTCTGGAAATTTGTGGCTGAATGGTAAAACCTGGGAATTTCGAGTACTATTTGGTAATTTTCCAGTTTGGGGCAAAAAGGTAATTTTCCAGAATTTTGTGGGGAATCTTAGGAAAGATTAAATGGAGGAGATTGGAATTTAAATTAACCAAATTGAAGGTCGTTTGGTTAGTTACGCTTGGAGATAAGTGAGTTAAGTTTTGCCTAAATATCGATTAGGAGGAAATGCAAAAGGAAGCGAAGCACGAGGAGTTGGAGCGTGGAGTTTCGGAGGATGACGTGGGTCAACCGTCAATTAAGAAGAGTCGTCTTTTCGAGGTGAGTGTAAAGGGGGTAAATTCTACGCCTTACGTGCTCTTTCAAGAATTCCCAGTTTTGAGTATTTTGAGGAAGTGAATGTCGTTGTTTGTTTGTGCTTATGATTGATTATATGTGATTGTGTTGAGCTATGCTTGATGTGAATTTGCATGAGTTTTTATTTAAATTTAAGCCTTAAGTTTATAAGTTATCGTTAAAGTTAAGAAGCAAGTCCTTTTTAAGAAGTAACTCACGTTCAAGAAGGTGAAGTCGTTTTAAGTATTTTTAGTCACTAGCGCCAGTCCGTTGCCTTTTGAGACAGTTGGGATAGAGCAGCAGTTATGCTCTTGAGATTTTTAAGATGGGCAGCAGTTATGCCCTTGAGAATCGTGGTGAAGAGCCACCACGATAAGTTTAAGATGTTAGGGGGATGAATCGTTACGACTTCCCTAACTAAGTTTAAGTTTAAGGAAAGCCTGGATGGCTTCTCATACGTATGAGTTGGCAACCGGACTAGCTAGTGAGGGATCCCAGCGTCAGTCAAGTATTTAAGTCGAGATTTGAGTTTAAGAGAGGAGAGTAACTTCAACTCCCTCAAAGTTTAAGAGTTAAGATTTTTAAGATTGGAAGTACCAAACAACTTCCACTAGTCACAGTTAAGTGTTTAAGTAAAGTACTCAAGTATTAGAATTGTTAAAACGTAAGGGCGTAGACTGACCCCTTCTCACTCACCAGGCTGAGGATGAGTTATCGGAAATGGATTCCGAGAAGAAGTAAGATGAGGCAAGCGGTCGTGCAAGTACCGAAGATGAGATGTCAAGGAGCTGGGTGAAGAGTATAGTTGAAGTTTATTAGTTGTTTTATGTTTATGGTTATGAGTATATGTACTGGAGATTCAAAGTTCAAGATTTTGTGTTAAGTTGTTTTAAGTGTTTGAGATTGAGATTTTGCACAAGTGTTGGGACTTTTTGATTTAAAATTATTAATAAAAGTCAGTTTGTTATTTTAAAAAGTGGTTTGGGTTGCTCCGGAGTAACCGGTTTGGGTTTGAGTTGTGGTTTGATTTTCGGAAAAGGTCGGGACGTTTCACATTATCAAAACTTGCAACAGCACAAGACTTCCTCAACGAGAGACATGTGATCATTGAAAGGCATCCAACAATGTTATGCGCCCAAGTTACCTCATTTCCAGCACAATCCGATTGGCGAACACCTCTCATCGAGTATCTAAAACATGGGCTCCTGCCCGCTGACCAGAAGGAAGCCATCCGCCTTAAGAGACGTGCCCCTCGTTACCTCCTAATCGAGGGAGATTTATACAAGAAAGGCTTTGCTGGACCCTACCTGCGGTGCCTTAGCCTTGGCGAAGCACACTTTGCCGTACAGGTACATGAAGGATCATGTGGGATGCATGCTGGTCCTCGTAGCTTGGAAAAAACCCTTCTACGACAAGGTTATTACTGGCCCACGATGCGGCGGGACACTCAAAAGTATGCTCAAGCATGCCCCAAATGTCAGGTGGCCGCGCAAACCACTCATGCACCTCCATCAAAAATGCAGGTTAACATCGGGCCATGGCCATTCGCTCAATGGGGGATGGACTTTTTGGGACCCTTTCCAACGGCTCCCGGACGAAAGAAATGGCTGATCGTAGCCATTGATTATTTTACCAAGTGGATCGAGGCTGAGGCGATCTCTAGCATATCCACTCAGAGAGTTGAAATTTTTTTATGGCTAAACATCTTATGCAGGTTCAGTCTCCCTCACACTCTAATCATGGATCAGGGGACACAATTCACAAGCGAAGATTTACAGGCCTACTGCGCCCAATATGGAATCTTACTTCGATATGCCTCAGTGGCCTATCCTCAAGCTAACGGTCAAGCTGAGGCCGCTAACAAAAGCATCCTATGGGGCCTAAAAACCAGATTAGGCCAGGCCAAGGGTCAATGGGTTGAGGAGCTGCCCCATGTGCTTTGGGCCCACCGGACAACTTACAAGACTTCCACTGGGGAGACACCATACGCCTTGACTTACGGCACCGATGCTGTGTTACCAATTGAAATGGAGCTCTCCTCTTACAGAATCCAAGCATTCCACCCTGATGAAAATCAAATCGAGCTCACTCATGATCTACATCTCATCGAGGAGCGTCGAGAGGAAGCACTTTTGCGACTCGCCGCTTCCAAAGAGAGGATCGCGCGTTACTACAACGCCAAGGTGAGAAATCGACCCATCAGAGAAGGGGAGTGGGTTCTGAGGAGAAACTTCAAACACATTCCAAGTCAAGGAAAGTTCACCCCCCCCCCCAGTGGGAGGGTCTTTACAAAGTGTGTAAAGTGGTGGGACCAAATACTGTAAAACTATCACTCCCTGATGGTCAAGACATGTCAAGGACTTGGAACACAATGCATCTAAGGAGATACTTTACTCCATAAATATGGTATACCCTTGCTATCTTTTAATAAACACCCCAGTGGATTTGTTCCCTAAATAAATACCATGGTAGGGTGAAAGATAGCTAGCAATAAAAGCAGCGTGTTTATTACAAAAGTTGGGAAGCCCATTGTACATTACCTACTACAGGTGTTTATAAGCTAAGCTATATACATGACCGAGTATCTTACATAATATTTTACAATGTTATTTCAAGTTGGAATTTCATAAACTTTAGTCCTCAAAAAACTCCGGGCCGAGTAACTCGGTTGCAGCCAACAACATTGCCGTAGAGATATTAAAGTCTGAATGCACTGGGGTGCCAACCATTGGAGGGGCTTCCGAAACAGCATCTAAAAGTGGCGAGATACGATGGAACTCAATCTCCACATTCGAAATTTGGCTTGCTGCTTCCCCAGACTGAGGAGCACCACCACATTCCTCGACGACATTCATATTTTGGGATGTCACCTCCTCAGGTTCCAAAGTAGTCGCACATTCTTCCACCACTTGACGAAGGCGGGTGTCATCAATATCTCTCGCAGGATACATACAATAAATTGCCCTTTTGGCCAGGCGATGGACATTATCCATCACTCCCGAAATCGCCATCTGTAACTGATGACGTAGAGTATTATTCTCTGATCGGAGGGTGGTGTTCTCTGAGTGTAAACCAGTATTCTCCGACCGTAAAGACCTCCTTATTAGCCTCTCCTCACGCATACTGGCGTGAAGCTGCTCAACTTTTTCGCGAAGGCTAGCCTCAGCTGCTTCTGAGGTACGCAGCTCCTGTGTGGCTGCCTCAACATGTTGTTGAGCCTCCACCATGTCTGCATCCCATTCACAAGATTTGGAAGAAAATTGCTCCTCTCTTGTCTTCATCTGGATTCTCATTTCGTCCAAAGAACGAGTTGCCTCCTCTCGGGCCTCAGTAACCCGAAGCTCTGCCATAGCTAGGCGGCACTCCATGGCAACAGCGTACCTCGCCAGCTATTCACAAAATAACAACGTCAATGTATCATATACAAGTTGAAGACCAAAAAACAAAGGAAGAACGTAAAAGCACCTTTGAAATAGAAGAAGCAAAAGTCGATCCTGTGGCTACATCTTCTAAAACGGGATAGTGTTTCCCCGCATCGCACAAACTGTCATACGTTATGACACCACCAGCCAAAATTCCACCTTTGCTGGCTCTTGAAGACTCCCCCTGATGCTTCAGGGTTCCCCTACCGCTGTCACGGACCAACTCTTGGCCGTGCGGCACTTAGCACTCAAGTCTCGTTAGAGCGCTAAGTCAGCCTTGCTCGTATTCACTCAAACTCACAAGTGTCGGAGAAAACTCTATAGATGCAAAATCTCTCTATTTCTGGATGAATGAAAAGTGGTGGAGAGGGCTGCTTATATAGGCATCCTCTCCACTAAGTACAATGTATATGGCCGTCATAAATGAACGAACCTAGATAGTCCCCCCATACATGAATCAGCCCCATACATGAATGTAATTAATAAAGGTGCATGAATAAAAGATAGGAAAGGGGGATGCATGTACATAGGTGCATGAATCCGGAGATGCATGCACGTACTTGCATCGTTCTAGAATGCTCTAGAATCTTCCGCGTAACATTCTCCCCCACTCAATCTCGCGACGCCCTCGTCGCGGACTCCGCATGAAATGCCTCGATCAAGTCTTTGTGACGCCATAGCGAAAGCTCTTTCTCCCATGTGATGTCGCTTTCTGGCCGCCCCTTCCACTTGACGAGATACTCCGCGTAGCTTGGATGAACACCACGCCTAGGCACAACACGATGAGCCAAGATCTCCTCCACGTCGTGCTCATGTGTTGTAGTGACGAGCGTTGGTGCTCTCGCTGACTCCTTCCGCGCTCCATCTTCCTTGTCTTCATGATATGCCTTCAATTGACTCACATGGAAGACGGGGTGAATCTCCAAGTGCGGTGGCAGCTCAACTTTGTACGCCACCGTGCCAATCCGCTTCAAAATCGGAAATGGCCCTTCATATCGTCGCAGCAGCCCCTTGTGCACGTTTTTAAGGTGCTTGAATCGATGAGGGAAGAACTTCACCATCACCAAGTCTCCCTCCTCGAATTCCAAGTGACGCCGCTTCTTATCCGCCCACTTCTTCATCTTCTTCGTTGCTCGAGCGAGATAAGATTTCGCCAACTCCATCTTCTCGTACCACCCTCGTGCAAACTTGTAGGCCGAAGGGCTATTGCCCTTGTACCCCGTCGTCACCGTATTAGGTGTCAACGGCTTCTGGCCAGTCGCCAACTCGAACGGGCTCATGCTCGTGGCTTCGCTTCGATGCAAGTTGTAGGAGAATTGGGCTACATCCAAGAGCTTCACCCAATCCTTCTGGTTGGCACTCACATAATGCCGCAAGTAGACCTCCACCAAAGCATTGACCCGCTCGGTTTGCCCATCCGTTTGAGGATGAAAGCTCGTGGAGAAGTTCAGATCGGAGCCCATCATCTTGAACAACTCCCTCCAAAACTTGCCGGTGAAGCGGCCATCTCTATCGCTGACGATGCTAACCGGGATGCCCCAATACTTCACAACATGCTTGAAAAACAAGCGGGCTGCATCCTCGGCCGTCATGTCTTTGGGCCCCGCGATGAAGACGCCATACTTCGAAAATCTGTCGACGACGACCATGATGGAACCACACCCTTCGACTTTGGGAAGGCCGATGATGAAATCCATGCTAACGCTTTCCCAAGGTCGTTGTGGAGTGGGTAATGGCTCCAACAAGCCTGCCGGACTCCGCTGCTCCATCTTGTCTTGTTGGCAAACAAGACAAGTCTTGACGTAAAGTTCTACGTCATCCTTCATACGAGGCCAATAGTAAGCCTCCTCGATGAGAGCTTGTGTGCGCTCAATGCCGGGATGACCAGCCCACTTGGAGTCGTGGCACTCCTTCATGATCTCCCTTCGTAGGTTGTCCCACCGCGGCACGAACACACGCTCCCCCTTAGTCACGATGAGTCCGCCTTTCATCCAAAACCGCCGAGTCTTCCCTTGCTTGATGTACTCGACCACGGTTTTGGCGAAGGGGTCGTGGCTAAGGCCTTCTTCAATCCTCTCCTTCAAGGGGAATTGCGGCTGGCTGATGGCGGCAAGTGCGCTCTTTCGGCTAAGAGCGTCGGCAACAAAGTTTGCTTTCCCCGGCTTGTACTCCAGCACAAAGTCGAACTCCGCGAGGAAGTCTTGCCACCTTGCTTGCTTGGGCGTGAGCTTCTTCTGTGAGAGGAAGTAACTCGTCGCCACATTGTCCGTCTTTACAACGAACTTCGACCCAAGCAAGTAATGCCTCCACGTTCTCAAACAATGGACCACCGCCGTCATCTCCTTCTCTTGCACCGCATATCTCCTCTCTGCCTCATTGAGCTTGCGGCTCTCAAAAGCAATTGGGTGCCCTTCTTGCATCAACACCCCACCGATTGCAAAATCGGAAGCATCTGTCTGCACTTCGTACGCCTTGGTTGGATCGGGTAGCGCTAGCACTGGCTCCTTCGTCACCGCATCCTTCAAGGCTTCAAATGCTTCGCGGCACCGATCCGACCATTCCCAAGCCTTGTTCTTCTTTAGGAGATCCGTCAAGGGTGCTTCAAGAGCGGAGTATCCCTTGATGAATCTCCTATAATAGTTGGCTAGGCCGAGGAATGATCGCAACTCGGTGACCCTCGTCGGTGGCTCCCATCCTTGTATCGCCTCCACCTTGGCCTCGTCCATCTTTAGCTTGCCTTCGCCAATGATGTGGCCGAGGAAAGGAACCTCCGCTGCTGCAAACGTGCACTTCTCCTTCTTGACATAGAGCTCGTTGTCTCGAAGGACTTGAAACACTTGTCGCAAGTGCTCGGCATGCTCATCGAGTGTGTTGCTGTACACCACGATGTCATCCAAGTACACCACCACGAAGCGATCCAAGAACGGCTCGAAAACTTGGTTCATCAAGGTGCAAAAAGTAGCAGGAGCGTTGGTTAGTCCAAAAGGCATAACAAGGAACTCGTACGAGCCATACCTCGTGACACAAGCGGTTTTTGCCTCGTCCCCCTCGGCGATCCTCACTTGGTAGTACCCCGAGCGAAGGTCGAGCTTCGTGAACCACTTTGCCTCTCCGAGTTGATCAAACAAGTCGCCAATATTGGGGATGGGCCACTTGTTCTTCACCGTGAGCTTGTTGATAGCTCGATAATCGATGCACATCCGCAACGATCCATCTTTCTTCTTCTGGAACAAAACCGGCGCTTCATAGGGTGATTTCGAGGATTGGATGAAGCCAGCATCCAACAACTCCTTGAGTTGCTTCCTCAATTCCTCCAACTCGGGAGGAGCCATGCGATAAGGTGCTCGTGATGGTGGCGTCGCCCCTTGCTCAAGCTCGATCTTGTGATCGACTTCTCTTCTTGGCGGCAGCTTCTTTGGCAACTCCTTTGGCATCACGTCCACAAACTCCTCCAACACGCCCTCGATGAGAGGTGTTGGCGCCACCGAGCCTCCTTCTTCCTTCGCTCGCAAAGTGACAAGGAACGTTGGTTCATTCCTCTTCATTCCCTTCACCAATTGCATGGCCGATAGTGCTCTCTTTGGCCCTTCTTCGCGCAACATCTTCACCGCGCAAAACTTGTCTCCCTTGTCAAGGCAAAGAGTGTTGGAACTCATCGCCATCACCGCACCCTCCTTCTTCATGAAATTGACGCCAAGAATGACCGGATGGTCATCCATAGTGATGACGCTGAAGTCGGCAACACCTTCCCATCCTTCGATCTTCAATGGCACGTTCTTAGCAACGCCATGGATGGGTATTGCCTCCGAGTTGACGGTCTTGAGCGATCCTTGCCTCTTCTCGTAAGCGATCCCCAAGTGCTCCGCCTCCTCCACTCGAAGGAAGTTGTCGGTCGCACCGGTGTCAACCAATGCTTTTGACTCGCCTCCCTCGAATTGGGTGATTACAAAGAATCTCCCCTTGCTAACTTCGTTGGCGCCGGACTTCGCCGCGCCTAGTCTCCGCATGGAGCCTATCTTCCCTTCGTCTTCCCTAGCATTCTCCTTGGTCTCCCCTTCTTGTTTCTCCAAGGCTGCTAGCTTGCTCTTCTTTGGGCAATCTCGCACCTTATGTGGACCGTTGCAAAGAAAGCAAGACATGGGTTTGTCAAAGTTACCAGATCTTGCCCCCTTGCTCGAGCCTCCATGTTGGTACGAGCCTTTCCCTTCCTTGGAGTGCTGCCGATGATCTCCTCCCTTGCTCTTCGAGTTCTTCGACTCGCTCGGCCGCTCACTCTTCTTGTATTCCGTGAGAGCCTCTGCCGTTGCTAAGGCAGTAGCAAGATCTTGCACTCCGCGCCTCTCGAGCTCCAACTTCGCCCAAGGTTGCAATCCGAAAAGGAAGTTAAACAAAGCCTCCTTATCCGGCAGATCGGGGATCTCGAGTAGCAATTCCGAGAATTCCTTGACATAGTCACGAATTCCGCCGGTGTGGGTGAGTCGTCGAAGCTTCGCACGAGCCTCCATTTCGACCTTCTCCGGGTAGAATTGTCTCTTGATTTCCCGACGGAAATCCTCCCATGTGTCCATCGCACATGTGCCTCTCTCGATATCACCTTGCTTCCTTCTCCACCAAACCATGGCCGTGTCGACTAAGTAAAGGGAGGCAGTACGCACCATGACTTCATCGTCATTGATGCCCGAAGCCTTGAAATACTGTTCTAGGCTCCAGAGGAAATTCTCTAATTCCCTCGCGTTCCTTGACCCATCGAAGTTCTTTGGCCTTGGAACATCTACTCGTGGTGTAGATTGAGTTGTGGCAGGCCCGTTAGCCACGGCTCTTTTGACGAGATTGACCTCTCCTCGAAGCTCGTCAAATTCTTCCTTTGCTTCGTCTAGCTGGCCTCGAACTGTCTCTCTCAATGCGTCGATGGCGTTGGTGATGATGGTCACAAACTCGTCTCTGAATGCTTCTAACCCCACCTCCAAGCCTGACATTCAAGTGCCCATGCCTAGCATGTCGTCCTTCGAAGTCTGCACCTCTCCGCTGACTTGATCGAATTTCGACTCCATGTCCTCGAACAAGGTTGTATGCTTGGCAATCTTCGTTTCTGCTTTTTTGAGC